TTGCATTTGATATAGCGTTTTTCACATACTGTAAGTGTAGTGACTGTATATTTTGTAGGTTAACGCAGCAGTCAATCTGCTCATAGCAATATCCCACAAACACCCATGAAGTGAATGAATGATCGTGTCTAAGGTATTGTTAGCCAGGACTCCCTTGACTTTCCAAGTTGTGCTATGGGATCTTTGACGTCCACCTGAGATATCTAAAGATTTTGAAAGCAAAGATAACTCTTTGTAAATATCTTATTCAAGCAATGCCTGGATGACAACCATGACTTTCCGATCAATCCCTTTGATAGAATACTTGTATTTGCTTTTTTTGATGAGTTACTGGTTTATCAAGAGAACTGTGCTTTTTGCCTCATAAATTTCTTTGCCACATTATAATGCATTCACTGGATAGAATTCTGTGGGGTTCAGATTCTGTTCAGCAGAACAAATCCATAAAAGATTTTCCACACAAGTGGAAAGCATGTGCTATTTAATGTCTCACTCTTTAGAAAAAAGGCAGGTAATAAAGATTTGGTTTTATTGGGGATAGGATTAAATCTGTTGCTACAATTCAAACCAGGAGGTTTGGGAATAAAAACATTATATAAAGCTGGAGGTCAAAAGGAGTCCTGATGACTTTTCCCTTTTTTCTGGGGATATTTTCTGTTCAGATAGAGAGAAACTGTACAGTAATTTATGGGGAGAAATCTTTGGCATTTCTAATGCATTCAATGTGATGATTATTGAATATTGAATACAATGTAAATTTCACTAAAAATCTTATGTATATCGTATATGAGTGAACGCAAGCTGTGGAATGAGAAAATAACCAAATTCAAATTGAATGCCAGAGAAATTGTTTTCGAGCAATGTTATGGAATGTACAGAATATATATGCAACCTGTTTTGGTGCTTGTCTGATCAATGGTAAATGTATTGATTTTGGTGGCTAAGTGTGCCTGATTCTCAGCTTGTTGCGATATTCACCAACCGAGGCAAAATCAGTTGCAAAAGTGTCTGGTTCCTATTCAGTGTTAAATCCTTTGGCCAAATTCCCTGTCCCTTATAACCTCTGCAAAATAAAACAGCACTGGGAGCAGAGTCATCCCACTCAGCTCCTGTTAACCCTGCAAGCCAAAGCCTTAATGGGTAGGGTAACAACAACAACAACAACTTGGATTTATATACTGCCCTCCACGCCAGACGGCGTCTCAGAGTGCTAGAGTAGTCCTAGCTGGACAAGCAGCGGGAAAGCTTGCCGGACAGCAATATCAATGGCAAGCCATGCAGTTTTAGCAGGTTAGACTCTAGCAGTACCCCAACACACACTCTAAGGTACCCAAGCCTTGGCTCTTGCCAATCTGCATCTAATAAGCCATGACCCGCTCTGCCTTCCCTCACCTCTGTAACATCGGCTGACTCCGCCACAACCTCACCCCTCAGGCCGCTGGAACTCTTGTTCATGCCTTCATCACCTCCAGGTTCAACTATGCAAACACCCTACTTGTCAGCCTTCCCAACTCCTCCCTCCACAAGCTGCAAATAATCCAGAACTCTGCAGCCCGTGTCCTCTCCCGCACCAAACTCCGTGACCCCATCTCCCCAATTCTCGCCCGACTCCATTGGCTCCCTATCCTTCAGAGGATCCAGTTCAAGATCCTGGTCCTCATATACAAAGCCCTCCAAGACCTCACCCCATCCTACCTCTGCGACCTCCTAACCCCCTACCAACCCGCCCACTTCCTCCGCTCAGCCAGCTCCGGCCTGCTCCACGTTTCCCAACCCACCCGCCCCACCATTGGTGGGAGAGCCTTCACCCACTCTGCCCCCAACCTCTGGAATTTCATCCCCCAATCACTCCGCCTCGCACCCTCCTTAGCCTCCTTCAAATCCCATCTCAAAACCCTCCTCTTTGACCATGCCATCGGCCTCCCCCCTTCCCTTCCCTTCTCCCCCCTTTACCCCAGCTCGGGACTGAAATGCTGTACACTGTCCAGCGCCTTGGGATGTCCTCCCGACATGAAAGGCGCTATACAAATGTAATCTTGTTGTTCTTGTTGTTGTAATACTTTCTGGAATTAGGTAAGCAACAACAACAACAACAAGATTACATTTGTATAGCGCCTTACACGTCGGGAGGATGTCCCTCAGGATGTGTCCCTCCAGGGATAGAGTGCGCATTCCATTCCAACAATCTATCTCTGGGATTTCCATGTGTGGGTGGGATGCATGGAAATCTCAGCTTGGTTTGGATACTCTTTAAGCACGGCGATGGGTTTCCGCACATGTCAGACACCTGGCTGACCAAAAAAAAGCAAATAATTGCTTGTGTGAGTCTTGTTCATACACGTGCTTATATATAACCTCTACTTAAAAGGCTTTGTGCATTGAGACTTAACATTCTGAAGTTTTGTAAACTAGATGTGCAGAGTGAATTCTGGTAGCAGAATGGTAACAACCATATTTGTTTCAGTTCAAACTATAATCTAGTCCATGTGGAAAAATTAATCTAATATTCTGCTGGGTAGATGTATTGATGTGAAGAAGCCATAATTTTCAAATGCCCAACTGAAGGGCAAGTCTCAATTAATGTGTGAGATGAATGTCTATCGCTGCCTACAGCTCAATTTTATTTTTAAAATCCATGTGTGTTTGGTAAGTCATTTCACTTTTCACAAAGAGAAAATTTGGAGGAGGAAAACTTTGCATTGCATCAGAAATAACATCTGTTTCTGATAGACACACTTTCAATAAGAAATAAATAATCTGTGCCTTTCACGTCAGGAGGACATCTCAAAGCATTTTACAGGATTTCACTTTATAATGTAGTGACCATATATTTTGCAGGTGAATTTACCCTAAACAGCCATGAAGTAAAAGATCAATTTAATCAACTTTTTGCACAGCGACCTGTTGAGAGCAGCTTGTAACAAGCTGGTTGTACCAAGATAGCACAGCTGCTCCTTTAAAAGGGTCTTATTCCTGTATTCCACAAACATTTGAACCTCCATAACTCTCCTTCAGCATTCAGATAGAACAAATACTTAACATGATAAAATAATGCACATGTCCTTGGCTGATCCGGTAAGTGTATAATCTGCTGTGCACACACATCAATATTGTTTTAGCTGGAATTAAGGGCATCATCACGGCCTGGACCATAGTTGCAGGTATGTTGCTTAGATTGGTTTAATCTTTTTCCTGACACTTTAATTTTCATCTCACTGTTAGGTGAGGTCTAACACTGACAACATGTTGACTTGTAAATAGCCATAAAGGTCGGATCTCAATGCATTCAAGGCTGCTAAACTAGATCGTATACATTGACTGTTACATTGACTGTGACATAAAAATCTGGGTTGATTTGAGGCTGAAAAGCCCTCAGCTACAGCACTTCTGTCTACAAATATACAGTCACTCCACTTGACAGCAATTACCTCCGAGGTCCTTTTGTGATTGGAAGACAGCAAGGGGGCTGTTCGGAAGGATGAGATCAAATGGGCCAAAGGATCTTCTTCATCCAAGCTTTACTTGTGATCTTGTGGAGGAATTATAACAAATACAAGGTTGATTATTGTTATTATAATTATACAGCACTTAAAATAAAAGTTGTAATTGAATTTCCCTGTTCTGTAGGTTTCCCTAGATTGGATGATTCTATGATGCTTTGATATTTGGAAATGTGACCACTGATGTAATGGCATTGGAAATTCCAATCATAGTCACTCCACATTACAGTAAATCCTGTAAAGTGCTTTGAGGTGTCCTCCTGACGTGAAAAGCACTCTATCAAATGCAATGATTATTGTTCATTTTGGAAAAAATCTTTCAATGGGAAAATAAAGAGAGGATAGAGTAAAAGCCCTGGTGCCTCTTAATGGGTGCTGGTGCAGAGTATGAATTTGTGGTTAAATTTTCATGTTAATTAAAGCTGGCGTTAATGATTCTCACTTATTACACTTCTTGCTATAGCGAATCGCCAAAATTGCTCTTTTTATTGCTCTATAGTTCTATAGAATAAATATTTGATTTTCACTGTGCTCTTGCCCCGACGTCCCCTTCATCCACGCCCCCCCCCCCCCCCATAGGTTACTATCTCCTTCAAAGTATTAAATTAAATGAAAACGGATGACTCTCATTTTATCTCTTGAAATCCAATTAATATCTGATGGGCAGCACACATGGACAAAAGCGAGTCGCATAAACCATGCGCTACAGTGGGAGTTTCCTTCTCACATCTTCCAGATGACATGAAATCTCTGAAGAGCGTCCTGAACATCTGGAAGATATACTTAGCAGTATCTGGCAATGCTGTGCATCAGTAAATCTTCCTTCCGCTTCCTGCCATTTCAATGTATTCGCCAACAGCAATAGTGCTCAATGCAAAAAAAGGGGAATTCACAGAGAAAAGCAAAACAAGTGTTGATGAAATAATCTGAACTAATCTTTGGTGAATATCAGATTGGTATCAGGGAGGAAGAGGGAGGGGCGAGTGTGGCTGTACCTCCAACATAAATTGCTGAGATAATTTCCACCTTTGATGTGCATAGGTTTTTATCGGCTTGGTCCAGTTGGTAGAACTCTCACCTCTAAGTCTGAAGGTTGTGAGTTCAAGTCCCTAGTTGGTACCTGAGCTCACAATCAGACTATCGCTCTAATGCGGGAACATTACCTTGATGGCGGTGCTGCCATTCAGATGAGATTGTAAACAGAGGTTTCCTGTCTGCCTGTTCAGATGGATAGATACTAAAGAGAAACCGTTTTTAGGTTTCTTCTGGTGTATAGACTAATAATCCTCTAGATTAAATGTTTATTTACTTTTTGGCTCTTTGGGGGCTCCTGATTTATTCAAACTGGCTACTGCATTTACTATGAAAACAGTCACTACATTTGACAACACTTTGAGATGTTTTGACATGACAAAACACTATAAAAGTCAAGTTATTTCTTTCTTCTGTATAATTGCAATGGAATGAACTGCATGAACATTTGGATTCGACACACCATCATTGGATTCAATCCTTGGTGAAAGTTTATTGTGTGAATGCGATTTCCCATTATAAAACCATTGCTAATAGTTGCAGCAACTGTATAATACTGTGATATTATTTTCAATATAGGACTGGCAAAACTGAATAGTACATACATTGGGTAGGGTTGAGAACAAATTGTTTTTTTTAAAAATGTACAACAGTCAAGTGACCAACTGGTCTTGGCAGATTTAGAAACAGAAATGTCAGCGCCGTACACTTTGAAAGATTTTCCATACCTCCTGCTCCTTGGAGAAACGTTTGCTTTGCCAATGGGCTGAGGTGCAACACTTACTCACCACCTCAGCCTCCGCAGTCCATGTGAAGTGTTTACTGAGTTACTCCCAGGGCGGATGTGAATAAGTTCCAATTGTGCAAAAGGGAAATTTTACAGTAAGATATGGGAAAGAGAAGTCAGGAATCCAGGTAGGTGTTTGAGAGGATACTGGCGCTTGTGGGATTTGCTGAAACTGGAGGATTTACACAGTGTGACACTGTACAGTCGATCTCCTGTAGTACTTATGTTTTACAGGCTGTTCTGGCTCACACATTTCTTGATGTTGGATTTGACTATCACAGTTCCTAGTTTAAAACAAATGCAGATAGCAACAACATGCATTTATATAGTTCCCTTCACGAGTGGCATCTTGGAGCACATAAACAACCACCGTTATCACCTTTCAGCAAATGCACGGACGCTTTTATGTCCATGGACCCAGCAAAACCTGACTACACCGTTGCTGCCACCATCTTACATAATAATATTTGCACTTGGTATTGTGCCTGTAACATCGAAAAAGGTTTCACAAATAATTGCTCTGAATTGTTGTGGCTGCATCTGTAGACAAATGTGACAACCAAGTTGTCACAGCAAGGTCTCATACAGCCACAAAATGAATGACCGATTTATTTGGTGGATTGTTCACTGATAGCCGGGGGGGAGAAGCTTCCTTCTTTTCTCCAATAGTGTCACAGTATTATTAACGTCCAACTGAAACAATACCTCAGTACCTCAGTTTAATGTCTCATTCAACGGATGGCATCCCTGATAATGCATCCCCCACCAGTACTGCACTAGTTCAACCAGGACTATGAGCTCAAGTCCCAATGTGGTGCTTGAAACCACAAACTTCCCACCAAGAAGCAAGAATGAGGCTAGCTGACAAATGGCTCAGCTCATAACACTCTTGATCTAAGCTGAATAAACTTTATTACTCGCCCGTTCAGCAAAGTTTAGTTCTATAGTCTTGCTCCATGTTCAAACCTACAATTGTTGGCAAAAATCACTGTTGGTGGCAAATGGTTTGCACAAAGCATTGTGTTCTACAGTTTGACTGATTGAGCTTCTATGTGGCATTATAGTGATCCTTGACAGGACCCTTTGCGGAGGCACTGCTTTAGCATCTGTTTTTAACTGTGCCAGCAGCAGTGTTGTGCAACAACCCTAAATCATGAAACGCAGTGAAGTGTGACAAACGAAATGAGTTTTACTGAGCCGCACGGACCAGAGGTTGCAGATTCGATTCCTGGTCTGTGCTGAATTAGCCGACCTCAGTCAGGGCAGAAGTTGAGAGCTACAGTGGGCATAAAAGCACTTGGACTCAGGAGGGAATAATATCAGTCAGGATCCCCGCTCCTAATTGACATCCAGAGGATCACTGGTGTGATCTGTGCTTGAGGGGATGCCAAGTGAGGTCTTGTCTGTGATTTGTTCCATGGCTAAGTAGTCAGCTGGCACTCCCAGACCAGGCTCTCACAAGAAGTCACTTTGGTTCTGGAGATCTCCCACTGTTACCTGGGAACAATATCCAACATTAGGCAGCATCTTCAGGAAAACAAGAAAGAAAAATCAGCGGGGAATTTATTTTATAAACTGCACTCAGGATTTCGCGTGACAAGACATGAAATAATTCTGAAATTGGCGCAGTCCAAATAAAATTGCTTTGCACTTCTGTTTTCTCTCCCAACATGTGTCCGACACAATAATGCAGACCATATTCGAGAATTAACCTTGAATGTTATCTGCTTAGCCACAAGTATTGACTATTCGAATCATGTTTGCGATGTTTGATAACTAGGCCAGGATATTGGACTCATTTAAAAATGGCTTGATAATGTAATGGAAAGGTCGATCTTGTGATCCTTCCTGAATACCCACCCTGCCAGCTTCGCACAGTGACTGCAAGTTTGGCCAGTGATGGTGATGTAGAGCAGGTGGTGGAATCAGAAACATTGCACTGTGTGTAATGAAGGGCAGGGAATCTGGCCGCCAAATATGGTAATAATACCAGCAGGAGAAAAAACAACCATTGAAAGTCCAGTCACGGCATTAATTGGAGTTGTTATTGCAAAAAACACGTACATGTGTTCAGCACACATGGCTAAATCAGTCAAGTTGCACAGAGTATTATGTATGTAGTTGCATAGATAGGCATCTGAATCTATTTATATCCAAACAATTTGAAAAAACATTTATTACATACCAGCTTTTTTTTGTGGTTATGCGAATTGAGCAATTTTGAAGGGATTCAGTCCAAAGCCACCATACTGGTTGCATTACATTCCTGTACGTGGAGCTAGTTAAGGGTTTTCAGATTGTTGTCTGGATGACATCTTCATTGTGTTATGTGGATGAGCATTCTGTTTCTCATGGTTTCAATGTTCGTGGTGTGAATACATTTGCAAATTCGGATAGAATGAATTTAAAAGGGATTGTTTTCACTCAGAAAATTGTTACTCAGTGGTTGGACCATTCAGCTCACAAGAATGAGGACCTGGGTTTGATTCCCAGCAGGGTGAAACCTTAGGTAAGTTTCCTTACTCCACATGCCTCGCTGTTTGAGCCGTCCTCCTGATTTAAAAGGCACTATATCAGATGCAGGGTTTATTATTATTACTTACAGCACTGACTGGCCAACTTCCTGCATATAGCGCACAGGAAGGGACACCAGCAGCACTTCCTGCACAGAGCAGTGACATTATCAATGGCTATTTCTCATTGTGCCCCATTATAATGTGGGATCTGATTTTATGGATTTAAACAGCTGCAGTATTACAGGGTCCAACTATAAAACTGCAAGTCTTTGTTATTGCTGTGCTGGTGTGAATATAATAATAATAATAATCCTTGCATTTGATATAGCGCTTTTCACGTCGGGAGGACGTCCCAAAGCGCTTCACAGAACACACTGTAAAGTGAATTGACTGTATATTTGTGGGCGAACGCGGCAGCCAATTGCGCACAGCAATGTCCCACAAACAGTCTTAGATTGAAAATGACCAATTTATTATTGTTTTTGGTTTTGGAGGGATTATTATTAGGCGTGTGGAGTAAGGAAACTTGCCCAAGGTTTCGCCCTCTGCCTGGAATTGAACTCAGGTCTCTCACTTGCAAAGCGAGTGCTCTAACCACTGAGCTACAGGACTCCAAATCATCTTCCAAAGCACGTACGTGTGTGTGTGTGTGTGTGTGAGTGAGTGGGTGATGGTGTGGGGGGTGGGTAGATTCAGATGTTATTCCAAATTTGTCGCTAAGGATTGGTTCTCAGGACACATCTTATCCCCAATGAAAACTATCACATCTCACACCATATTTTTCACCCTCTTACATTTAACTGAAATAACGATGAGGTGATGACAAGCTTAAGTTTTCAAAGGCTACGAGTTGCAGGTGGAAGAGAAGACTCAGGGAGGTCAGAAATGTCACAGCCCACAGGACCTGGTAAAATTGAGTTACACTTGGAGATTTCATACGCTGACTAAACACTAGAAATTAACTTGTAGCATATTTCAATCCTTCGCTTAATTATTTTAGTCAGATCCTCTCCCTAGTAATTATGGTAGTGGGTGTTTTTGTCAATGACCAGCATTTCTTGTAAATTCACTGACAGCAGCATACCAGTAAATGGCCTGTGTGTGTGTCTTAACCACCAGTACTACTGTCACTGTCAGCAATAAATGTGCATAGCATTATGAGTGGTTAATCCAGCAGTAAGGGGTCCTACATCATAAAGATCCTATTCTTTAAAGCTATTCATCTTGCGGACTACAAAGAGATCAGAAACTTGCAATATCAAAGAAAAACAGCTGCTGCTAAACTTAGACACAGTATTTATTACCAATTACCAACATTATGAAATGGATATGATAAATAAATCCAGAAATGCTTCAGTGAATTAAAGGGGTGTTGTCTTTAGGAAACGAAAATCAATTTTCAAAATCTTTGTTTTGTCTATTTTGAAGTTAGAACTGTATCTCATAGCTGATGCTCCAGGTCACTACAGTACCATCCTCTTCCTGGTAGATGAGAGCAGAGGAATAGACCCAGAATCCCTGGAAGCCAGTCAGGTGCCTGGGCTCTCGGTGGTTGAATGGCAGGCACTGTTTGGACATCCTCCCGATGTGAAAGGTGCCACACAAATGTATTGTATTGTATAAAAAACAAAAAAAGGAAAACAAATGAAGTGCTGGAATAATACTGTATGTGATATGTAATATGTTTCAATTACAAAATACAATACAATACAAAATTATATTTGTAAAGGGCTTTTCACATCAGGAAGACATCCCAAGGCACTGAACAGCCAAGGATTAGGACCGTGCAGGAGCGAAATGGGTTGGGATCAGGGAGGGTGGAGGGCAGAGAGGGTAGGAGGGTGGTCGAAGGCACGGTCAAAGAGGAGGGTCTTGAGGTGTGCCTTGAAGGAGGCAAGGGAGTGAGCGAGGCAAAGGGAATTTGGGACGGATTTCCAGAGGGTGGGGGCAGAGAGGCTGAAGGACTGACCACCGATGGTAGGGTGGGCCAGGCGAGGGACATGGAGCAGGCCGGGGCCTGCTGAGCGGAGGGAGTGGACATGTTGATAAGGGGTTAGCAGGTCAGAAAGGAGGAGGGGCAAAGCCATGGAAGGCCTTGAAGGTGAGGATGAGGACTTTGAACTCGATCCTCTGAGGGATGGGGAACCAGTGGAGCCGGGCGAGGGTGGGAGTGATGGGGTCACAGAGCCTGGTGCGGGAGAGGACACAAATTGCAGAGACAATGCTGTAAAAGAAGCTGCAATAAAAACATTGCAAGTCATCTTTACAGACATTTATCTGGAATCCTTGCCATTTCCTCAAATGTTATGTAAGGTGCACAGAGGTTTGGCTTTAATGTTGACATATCTGAGCATCTAGAGGGCAGAAGTTCCACCTGGGTCCAACTTTACTCTTTTAGCATTTCATAGTGTGCAGAATTTTGCAACTCATTGAATTCAGTGTTAACTTTCAAGTCGGTTTTCTGAAATAAAAATAATAATCCTTGCATTTGAAATAGCTCCTTATCATGTTGTTGAGACGTCTCAATATGCTTCATAGGATTTTATTGTGAAATATAATGATTGTGTATAGGTGAATGAAACAGCCAATGTGCACACAGCAATATCCCTAAACAGCCATGAATTGAGTGCGGGGGAGGGGGGAGGGTAGATTATTTAATCAGGGTACCAGTAAAAACTCCCTTCTCGTAAAAGAAACTTAAAAAAAACAGAATGAAAGCTGTATTTACAAATGTGTCAAACCATGGACACTCAAAAATGCTAAACAAATAATATAAATCTACTTCCTCCTGGACCATCTACGAGGTCCACTATGATGAACTGTTGACTGCTGACAGATATCATCAAAATTCTTCTGGAAATGGTGTTACTCACTGTGCTACCCGTAAGAAAGCAAGGCATTGGCACATTGTACTGCCCAGCTGCCCAAAGGCAACAATATTTTCCACAAGACACTTGGAGCCTTTTCATGTGTCCGAAATTCTCAGCAGTGACTGATTCTGCACTAACATTACCAAGTTGTAAGATAGGAACATAAGAATAGGAGTAAGCCAGTCAGCCCCTCTAGTCTGTTCCGCCTTGCTATTAGATCATGGCTGATCTATACCTCAATTCCATTTACTGCCTTTGCTCCATATCCCTTGATACCCTTACCTAACAAAACCCAGATGATGAACTCCAGTACCCTTTAATGTTGTGTCTCTGGAATCCCAGGAGAATCCAATATAAGAGAGAAGCCCCTGGACATCTGGAGACCAACAACAGCACATGACATTCTACCATCATTGAATGGCTTGACCTCAGCCACCCTTCCTGGTAACCTTTTCTAGTCATTAATTAACCTCTATGTAAAGAAATACTTTCTGATGTCTGTCCTGAAATTGCCATTTGCAAAGCATGAACTTGGTCTTTTTCAGCTGCCTTGGCATGTCTGAAAATATTATTCTGTGTTTGCTTTTTCAATCCTATTTAATATCTTATATACCTCTAGAAGATCCCATCTCAGAAGTCTCCTTTCCAGGCTGAAGAACCCTAGCTAGTCTAATCGTTGCTCACAGCTCATTCCTCTAACACTGAGTGGAGTTGAGCAAAATGACTTGTTCTGGTGCAGTTGCCACGTTTGTACAGTTCTCTGTGCTGGTATGACACATTTCCAGACTCCTGACTCCCATTAATGGAATCAGAGTTCTCCTCCACTCCAGATAAGGAATTATACCTTTACATGCACTGCCAGTGTCTGCTGGAATCCTGCCTGTACTTTAATTGAATTAGGAAAGGAAAAGAAAATGCATCGGTACAATTGCAATGGAGTCAAAAAAGCACCTTGGGATGTAAAGTGCGTGTACAATAGGTCTGTAATCCTATATGTTACATGCACTCAGAAGGTGCCGGCTCCAATCAGATCTCAGGACAGAGAAAAAATTAAGAAATACTGCAAGTTCGACACAATTCTCAGCCCTTGTATTCCTTTAATTTTAACCTTAAAATTCTAATCTATGCTGGCGTCATTGTG